GTGACTCTGGTTCTGTAACCTATCTTTAGTGGCTCTTAGGCCTTATATAGCATGAAAACCATTGCAAAAAAAAAATATCAAAATTCGACTTTTTAAATCATTAAAGTAGAAATAGCTCAAGAAATTTAAGACAAAATAAAATCACTGTATTATCAACATGATTGCTTCTGTTACTGGCATCAATGTCTGCTGTTGTAGTAAGATTGGAAATTTTTTTTTTAGTGAGAAGAGAAGCTTAGGTTGACAGACTAATATAAAGTTACATTGTGTTTTAATATTGTAGAAGAGATCATTTACTGTGATTAAAATTTGTTGGTTTCTTTTTCCTTATTTTGAAAAGATGTAGCACTGATGTTTTCTTCAGCAACTTTTAGTTTCTTGTTTTATTGCATATTATCAAGTGGAAATTTTCTAGAAAAGGTTTCTTTTCATTTGAATCATTTTAGATGCCAAAGTTGGTTTTATTTTTAGCTTACTGTCATGGGTCTTATTTTTTAGTTATTGTATTTTATTTAATTTTTTTTTATTTTAAAAACTCTTTTACTTTGTGTAATATTTCATGTTCTTTTATTGTATATTATCACTTGGAAATTTTCTGGAAAAGGTTTCTTTCCATTGGAACCACTTCAAATGCCAAGGTTTTTCTTTATGCTTTATTGTTATGGATTTTATTTTATTTATTTTGTGATCCAGTTTTGGAAGTTTTTTTTTTTTTTTAGTTTCATTTTTGTCCTTTTTTATTTTTTTTATTTTTTTTCTTAAATTTTTTTATTTTGGCTTCAGTTTTTTCAAAATTTTTGTTATTTAAGCAATTATATTTATTGCAACTTTTTCTTGCTTTTCTCTTCTTTTTTTTTTTTGTTATTGCTATTTTTTCAGTTTATTTGCTTTAGAACATTAATCCTATGTATATGTTCAGAATATTGGATGCCTCTTGTTGTATCTGTTAGCTTTATTTTATGCCTTGCTTTTAACCCAAATGTTAAAATTTAATTGTGTTTAAAGTTTTTTTTATATACAATCGGCATTTGGACTCCACACATTACAATTGACATTTTCTTTTTAACATTATCTTCACTTGGAAAAGAATTGTTTTTGTGCAGTTTTATATTTTATGCCATATATTTGCTGATTTCAATTTCTTGGTATAAAACATTAAGTAAGTATTTGCATTGTAAATTTTCTTTTGTACTTTTATTTTAATTGTAATCTTTGAAATATTCTTGGTTATAAAATGAGATTTTCTTGTTTCCATTATAAATCAGAATACAGTGGGCCCCTCCCAACATATCCACAGTTCCATTTAGCTATACTCAACCCCTCAGAAATAAACAATTCATAACTTCTACTCAATAATGGCCTCCAAAGCATATAAGTAATGGTGCTGGTAATTTAGGAATGCCAAAGAGAAACCATAAAGTTCTTCTTTAATTGAAAAACTGAAAGTTCTTAATAAGAAAAGAAAAAAAAAATGTATACTCAACGTAGGTTAGTTAGATCTACAATAAAAAGAACTTGCTCGGTTACATGACTTTTATTAATGTGTATTTATTTTTTTATGAAAACTAGTATTCCCAGAATAAACTAATTAAAATACTAGTTTGCATAAAAAAGAATAAATCATCATTTTCTCACTTTTGTTTACGAGGCATTAAATTGTATCACATCATGACCTCCATAACTTGACTAACTTTTTAGTTAACCTGATGAATATTCATGAGCACTGAAATATCTAAAAAAATTTTTGAAAAACAAATAACATTTTTGCTCTTGTATACAAATACTTGTTACAAAATAAAATCCTGCATTTGCCTTGATAAAGTCCCTCAAAGGATGAAATGTGTTGGCTCAGATAAGTTTTCCTAAGACACACACACACATATATAACAGCTTTATTTTTAATCCTACATTTTTATTACTCCCAATGTCATCATAGTGAACACTTTTTATTTAATATATACTGTTTAATAAGTAAAAATGAGACATCTATTTCAAATAAAAAGTGTCCATTATAATAACCATGAAATAATATATATATATATATATATATATATGTCATACAATCAGAATTAAGATACCATTATGTAAATGATCATTTTCACCTTGTCAAATTAAATGTACAGGAGAGAGAGAGCACATCATCTAATGTGATCAACAGTTTTGAACATGTCTAGTATGCTCAAACCGTCAATCACAATGACTTGTAACACACATGCATATATACATATTGATATATTAAGTTGTCATACATGAAATGAATAAAACGCTTCTGAAATGTTAAATAACTAATTTATTTAATTGAAATAGGCACCATGTTGATGAATGAATTTTCTCTAACATATCTCTAAATTCTTGATCCTATCTTTAAAAAAAAAATTCTCATCCTTTGATGTGATGAACAATTCAAATGCTTCGATTACATCTTCCTTATTGGAGAATGTTTTATTGTGTATGTAAATCTTAAAATGCTTAAATAAGTGATAATCAATAGTGGTATCAGGTGAATATGGACGACAAGGCAAATTTTCATAATTCAGGCTATGCAGATTTTGGACAGTTGAATGAGAAGCATACAACCATGTGTTGCTGTGCAGAAAAATTGGGCTATCCCCATTCACAAGTTAAGGGTGTTCCTTTTTCAGTTTTTCACCCAGACACTCAGTTTCTCCACAATATGAAGTTGCTGTTATTGTTTTCCATTGAGGTAAAAATGAATAATGAATAACCCGTTTGAATGGCCACCATTTAACATTTTAGAGTGCTACAGAGATTTTGGTTATTCACTTGCATCTAAACACTTGCCTACTGTCTTACTGTTGTCAAAGAGTATCCATTTTGTATCACATATAATGATTTGATGCAAAAATGGTTCTTTTTTTTCCTATTTTATCTTCATACAGTAAGATTACTTGATGTTATTTCTTTGGGCTTATGAGTAAAAATATATTGCAAGAAAATTTATCAGGAATAAGTTAAGATTTTTTTTTATATACTTAGAAGGTTACTTTGTTAGACGACTGGATCGAAAACCAACCAAAAAATGTCATTTCATGTGTGACAACGTAATATTTAATAATTTGTTATTACCTTTACTATTAGGTATCTGATGCAGGTCTTGGAACATGTGCCCTGTGGATAAGGGAGGGGGTTACTGTAATCTCTATTTTTATAATGAAGCTCCATCGCATGAACAGGTGATGAAATTTTCTTTAAATGTTTGTTGATATGACTGTGAATTTTTCTGCACTTGTCCATCTGGTTACAATCTAGTCAACCAATCAGAATGAAGAATTGCTTCTTTACTTGTCTTCCAGTTTTGGACTTTGATTTCCTTTGGACAGCAGAAGGTATATCACATGTTTTAGAGGCTATCCTCCATCATTTATACTGACTCTCTTTTTCTCCTGCCCTTCTCAACTCATCTCCCCTGTAGCTTGCTCTCACCCCTCATTAAGTCACCTTGAATTCTAATATATTAGTCATAGAATTATCAATCCCCCCCCACCCGATCTGTCTTGCTGCTTTAACAGCTACAGTTAATGGTTAAAAAAAGACTAAATCATTGTTGTTTCTAATTCTGGAATGATTCAGTTAATTCATTTCCCAGAAGTTAGATAAAAGATGGAAATATATTGTATATTGTGATTAAAAGATTATGACGAGAAACAAAATTATTGTGTAATTCTCTTTAAGTTGAGATTTTAAAGACCAAATTTTTAGTAAAAGGAAAAATATTGCACTTAGCGATAATAGTGACCTACATATATATTGCTTTAGACATGAAATTATTGATTACTATGTCCATATAAAAAATATATTAATTAGTGATGGAAGTAGATGACACCCACTAATTTATCATAGACTATTGTTCCATACATTATACACCCAGTCTATCTATAGAGGGAGTTCATATCTCAATCACGAGGGTTTTCTCGAAGGTATGAGTAAGATCTAGATCTAATAAGCTTTCATCCTTGATACCTCTCTTTTTTTAAGGTTAAGTATATAACTACTTGGCACAGTCTGAGTTTTTATATACTTAACCTTAAAAAAAATAGAGGTATCAAAGATGAAAGCTTATTAGATCCAGATCTTACTCACACCTTGGAGAAACCCCTCATGATTGAGATATGAACCCCCTCTATTCTCTCCTTATCAAAGGGTAAATAGTGGGTCCTATAGCTTTAGGTGGCAACCAGTGTAGGACACAACTACTCAAAATTTAAAACCTAAGGGGTTACTGAATAAACTGACTTCAACAGACCCTGGTCTTATGAGCAGGATAAGTGGAACCCCATCAATCCCAACTATTGGTTAAATAGCCTCACCAACCAACAATTGGCCAAGCATGGTGAGTATAGCTACACTCTCTGAATACATGATCAATCAGGGAGGGGTTCCTTCAACAAGAATGAGTTGTTCCTGGATTTGGAATGAATCTTCTGAAATCATTTTTAAAAAATTTACAAAAAAAACAACAAATATCTGCCAGGTATTGTAAACCCCCCTGTGCAATGTTGGGCCACAGTCTCACCATGAAGTGATTCTGCTGTGGGGTCTGTAGTAAGATTTTTTTAAGGGATGGAATTGCTTGTTCCATATCAAACTGGTTTTGAAATTGTTTGGGTTGCTCTTTTCCTAGATTGGTTGCCAACCAAGGCTAAGTCCTCTCTATCATGCTATTAACCTATAGCTGGGGGTGGGATTCATACCATTCAAAAGGGCATTTGTGTGGAAGTGAACATAAAAGCCTCTACTGGAATTTGAACTCAGCATGCTGATTCTATTTTCCATGCTGAAACTACATGCATATCCCAGATGATGTACAATATGAGAAAATACAAAAGGGTTTTTACTTATATCTTTTCTCAATTTCTGTTATTTTTTTGTTTTTTAACTAATTGTTGATAAAAATATTTTCAAATGTACAACAAAGCTACATTTATTAATCTGAAAAAGTTTCCAAATGTTGCACTGAAAGAGGCTTACAGCAAGATCATGTTGAAGCACCTGTTCCTGTAGAATCACTGAAGTTAAGCAATGTTGAGCATCATCAGTACCTAGATGGGTGACCACTTGGGAATACAAGATGCTGTAATCTTGGATGTGCAGGTAGAGCCAAATTCCAATTCCAGTTGGATTCATTATATCCACTTCCTTGCAAATACTCTTGGGAATGTATGAATTCACCTCTTACCCCCCAGCTATGGGTTAATTAGTAACACTTGTATCTCTAAACCATCATTATCTCCAAAAGTAAAATAAAAATTGTATACAAGATATTTAGATTTTGGCATTAAATAACTGATAGATGTGTTGATATGCTACTAAACAAAAACAATCAATCATACACTAAAAAATTTAAAGTAGGAGAAACTGAAAAAAAAAAGCTTACATTATACGAATTAAAGAAAGAAGCTAAATTAAATGGCCCAAACCAAATTGATAAATAAAAGTTATGGTTTGTATTGAAGTCTTTCTGCTATTTTATTTCCTGTAATTTTTCTCTCTCTCTTCTCAATGTTGAGATTTCAGAAAAATGTTAATTATATTCCACTAAGTCTATAATTTATAGGTGTTTCTTTTTTAATTTAAATTTAAAATCAACATTAAAATGTTATTTCTCTTATATCCATCAGATAAGTTTAAGGTAAAACTTGATATTAACCTTTAGCAAAATGTTAGTCATGCCAATGCAAGTTTAAATTTTAATTTCTTGGTTGTGTAGTTATATCCTTCTATGGCAACATCTAAAACAATCTTGACTGAAATTGAGAACCAGGCTCCTGCAATTTCAAATATATAGAACTAATATATAAAAGATTATATTTTGAGGGGATTCCCTATACAATAAAAGGAGGAAGTAATATTTATAAATGATGCAGAGTGCTAAATGTTAACAATACTTGGATGTCATTAATGTTTGATTAACAAATTAGAGCTTTGACTTGGTCATAAGTTGAATATCATTTTTGTGTAACAATCTAATTATAAACTGATCCCCTATTTTATATCCATAGTAGGTTTTATATATATTTCTACAGTCCAGAGTGATGTGATTTATAAATTAAGATCAGTTTTATCTTCTAACCAATCTTGAAAAAAAGGGAAAGTACTTGTATTCTATTTTAGGCTGCTCTTGATGCAATCAATTTCCATTTTCTGAAGAGGATGAGGATCATTACAAAATAACTTTGAAAGTCATCAATATTTGATTAACAATCAAGTAAACAAAAAGGACACTTAGACTTATCATCAGAAAGTGACAGTTGAAATTTAATGAGAAAAGAGGGCTTGAAGAATTTGATATTACCAATACAGATTGAAAGCAAGAGACAGAAGAAAACAAAGCATAACCTACCTAGCAAGCTTGAATAAATGAATAGGAGAACAGAGGAGAGATAAAAAAAAATATTAAGACCTACAAAGAACAGGAAATTGTGGAGAGCCATGATCACCAATGTCCTGAAGGGACATGACACATAGAAGATGATCTTTGGTGACTTTAGTATTTTGATGTATATTTGTATCATCCTGAGAATATAATTTAAAAAAAATGGTTTTCTGTAAATTTTTCTCCTATTTTGAGTAAATTCAAACGCCATTGTCTAATTTCTTCCATTCTTCTCTGTTCATAATCTTCATTAGTTCTTCTCTCCTGAAATGAGTATTGCTTTTTAGCTGATCCATATGATTTAGTCAATGTCCCTATCTTCCATTTTCCATGTTCCGTCTCCCACAGAAATACTTTACTTAACTTGGTCAGCCTATGAACTTTTCAGCCAACCTTTGTATTTGTTCAATTTAATTCTGTTTATCTATTTGGCAAATAATTTTCCATTCGTAAAGTTTTCAGAATGATATAGACTACAGTTCAAAAGTTTGAAGCCACCCCCAGAATTAGCATGGGATGAACTTAACAGAAGAGTGAAAAAAAAACAAAAACATAAAAAGAGTTTTTAGAGTCATTGAAAAAAGAATGGAATCAATTATCAAACTTATACTTTGAGAAACTTTTGCAATGAATGCCAAAAATTTGTGCTGCAGTAATCAAGGCTAAAGGAGGATATGTTGATGAGAGCAAAATTTAATCATAAAATGCTTTTTTTTTTTTTTTTTTTTTTTTGTCGTAATAAAATTTCTAATAAAAAACAATGTCTCACTTTTTTTTTTTTAACTATGTATAATAATTTTCTCTTATTTAAAGTACAAAATAACTACTTTTTGGACCAATTTAAAAATTTACCAAGGGTGACCTCAAACTTTTGAATTGTAGTGTAGATAAACATTGAGATATTAGCAAAATTACCCACTAGTCTTATTTGCCAGTGAACCCTGATTACTAATAAACATATTTTAAATTACTTTCATCTCATTTGGACTACAGAAACATAAAATCTAATATGGCAGAAATGAGGGATCAATTTATAACTTTGTTTTAATATAAAACAGATCTTCCCCCGCAAAAAAAAAACTATTTGTATTAAATTTCTTTAATCAATGAAATATTAATTATTTCCAAGCATTTTTTTTTTCAGTTATTTTCATTGTCTTTGAAATAAAAAATCTAGTAGGGTAAAAAATATTAAAGATTCGGTTTATAATTCACTTAAAAAAAGTTGGGGATGGCATTTCACACTTTACACTCAAGATACTCTTTCTGTCTGTTAATTGAACATAAAACATATCCACATGTTTTTCTGACTCCACTTTATCCTTTACCCTTAATTATTTACCATATTTTTTACCACATAAAGCAACTTCCCACCCACACCAAAATACAAGCCTTCCAAAATCACCCTGTACTTTATATCCTAATGGTTGGGTTACTGGTAGCATATTGACAATGACAATCTCATTGCCTTTTGAGCCAGAATGAAATATATATAATTATAAATGATTAAATTATGATTAGAAATCAAAATAATATTAAAATATAAGAAAAACTCCTATTTGATACACTAGTCCCCTGATGACCCCAGGATGAAATATATATGATTATAAATGATTAATAATTAATTAATGAAATATATAAACCAAAATAATGTTAAACTGTTTTTAAAACAATCATATATATGTTATAATTAGGTTTTTTTTTCCAAAATATTTCTTGCCTAAAGCCTGTTATATTCCAGTAAATTTCATCTATTCTTTATGTTCTTAACAATTTTGCTTTCTTGTTTGATATTTTTTTAATAAATTAAAAAATAAGCTGGTTAAGTGGGGAAATAAATTTATCTAGAGTGTAAATTTGAGATTCAAATATTGAAGTCAATCCAGTAGTCATTTTATTGAAATTGAAGAAATTTGACACTATTGATTATTTAAATTAATGGATTCAGGCAATTTGGGACCCATATGTTTAAATCTTCCTCCCACAATCCACTCCAATACTAATCTACTAGTTGTTACTACTAAATTATTATTTTTCTACCACATGTAGTATAATTAACTGCTTTTTCATCTCATATTGCACTTGAAGATGATTAATTTATCTGTAATGTTGGCTCATGAAGAAGATGGGGATATACATCAAAATATGCATTCAAATCAAATGTTCTTTATTTTGTTTAAGTGATTTCTGTGAAAAAAAAAAAAAAAAAAACAACCAAAAAAAAATCACCAATTTATGCATGTGCTGCATTGTTTTGTTTGCAATTTCTTAAATTGTACTAAACTTTTTTTTGCTATATTAACCGTAACGTAACTATAGAGTGGAGGACAGTTAAAAAAAAAAAAACAGATGGATTTATATTTTTCTGTTCAAGGTGTGTGTGTGTGTGTATATATATATATATATATATATATATATATATATTATTATTTTTATTATAAGAGATTATAATAAAAACATGTTGAAATTGCTACACAAAAGCTTTCATGTTTCAATACTTTGATTGTACTTCTTCAGGCAATGGTAAGTAACTGGTGATTAAATAATTTTTACAGAAATTTAATCACCAATTACTTACCATCACCTGAAGAAGTATGATCAAAGTATTGAAACATGAAAGCTTTTGTGTAGCGATTTCAACATGTTTTTATTATAATCTCTTATTATAATAATAATATATTGCTTTACTTTGTATTGAGCACTTTTTAAAAGTAAATGCTATGAACAGTAGAATTTTACTCCATCTGTTCTTTCTCTCATTTGTATGTGTATATATATATATATATATATATATATATATATATATATATAATGTGCATTTTCTCAACCACAGAGTGGGGGTGGAAGAAAGATCAAAAGTCTTGAGTTTGGATTATAAACCTTTATATTTTTGGTCAATGCACTAACCTCTGATGCCTTTCTTTTTATTGCAGACAGTTTGGAAGTTTTGATGTCAGGGTTGTCCAATTGCATGGCTCATCTCCTTAGATATAGCACACTAAATAATTGAATACCTGCTTTACCCTATAACCCACTCTTCTCACCCCTGCCTTATTTCATCACATTCTAACAAGCTCATACTTACCTGCCTCCAGGTGTTATGGCAGTAAATGAACTGACTCAATCTCACCACTCCCCACCCTTGCCTCCATTGCGAAAACATGTCTCTCATTGCTTTTCTGGTGCTAGTCACAGCAACCTTGGATACAACATGACAACTAAAAAAGTCCTTGATTGTAGCCAGCCCCTGCCCAAAATTAAGCATTTCTCAACAAAGGACCCTTCTCGGATTGAAATCCATTCTAATCCTCTTGCGAGACCTCTTGGTTCCCAAGCAGCCAATCCTTCTCTTCATAACCTAAAGTCTTCTGTAATGAAGAATGATTGCTCACATGGTTCCCATGGTGCTTCATATAAGGAATTGCCTTCTGGTTCTTGTGGAGATGAGTTACCAAAACTTGTGCCACACCAAGCACAACAGAAGATTACATTGCAGGATAATTTCGCAATACCAGTCAGTTTGGCGATGCTTAATAAAAATGAAGCTCTACATCTTGATGTTAGCACAGAGAACTTTATCAAGGAAATGCAAAGACCTGAGGTGCTGGAACTTGTACGAAAATACAACCCCTACCCAAGCTCCCATCTGAACTACAACAGAGACCCCAGTTTGTGGAAGAATCTCACTGAAGAAGAGTACAATGA